CTGCCACGGACCGCCGTCACGGCACACTGGAGTCTGCTGGAGGCCCTCTCTACCTCCTTGGCCTTGATGCCCTCCGCCGCCCCTGGGGAAAGACGGCCGTCGACAGATACTGCCAGCATCAAGTTACCCCTGGCCGCCACGAGGAGGTTCCAGCAGAAAATGTCTGCAGTGCGAGCGGGAATCATGTCCCCTGCTAGTTGCGGGTGCATGCTGCTCTGCCCTCACAGCTCGTGCAGCAAAGTTACGCGCCAACTCGTTACACCAAATGGCGATGATGAGAAGGCAGCGGCGTATTGGTGCTGTTTTGGGGTGCCTCTTGGACCGTCAAGGGCCCTTTGGGGGCCGTCTTGGGCCCTCTTAGGGGGCATTTGGTGGACCCCTGGGAGCCTCTTGGAAGCCTCTTAGGGCTGGGCTGGCGGGGTCGGCGTCTGTGTTGCCGCTCCAGTGAGCTCGCCTGGAGGCGTCTTGGACCCTTTCACGGGGCCTCTTGGGCCATGGAGGGGTCCTTTGGGGCAGTCTTGAGGTTCTCTTCGGGGTCACTGGGGCCGTTTGGGGGCCGCCTGTGGGCGTCTTGAGCCGTCGGGAGCTCAGAAAAGCGAGAACGCTAAAATCTTATAATCTTTCTCGGGCCATCTTCAGCGCCTCCTGGGGGCTCTTTGGAAGCTCTTCGGGACTCTTGAAGCTTTTTTGGTGCATCGAGGGTGCCTCTTCGGGCGTCTTGGAAGCCTCTTGTGGCCTCTTGGGGCTGCTTGGGGCGTCTTTGGAGGGTATCTTGGCGTTCTCGTGGGGGTCATGCGTCAGCCCCTGAAGGGTACCGGAGGCAAACAAGCGGAATGGCAAAAGTTATCGATTGATGTCCTTGAGGTGTTTGGAAATTGGCGCTCTCGTCGGCGGTCTTGAGGACCACTGGGAGGTATCGTGGCGCCCTCTTGGGGGCTGGTGCGGGCTTCTTGGGCCGTCTGGAGGCTCTCGTGGGGAGCTCTCTTGCCTGTCGGAAGCGTCCCAAGGCATCTTGAAGCCCATTTGAGGCGTTCTTGGAAGCCCCGGAGGAAGTACCGGAGGTTTGACGCAGATGCCTGGGTGCGATTGGAGGTTCTGTTGGGCCGCCTTGATGTATGTCCGGCACCTCTCAGGAGCGATTTCGGGTCCCCGTTGAGGGCGTGTTGGGGCTTCGCAGGGCCTCTTGCGCGCTTTGTGGGGGCGTCGAGGGGCCTCTTTGGGGCGATCTGGGGGCCTCAGCAGACCATCGGAGACGAAAAGGCAACGAGGCAAAAATCACTGAGCCCCTATGGGTGTGTAAATATTTTTGGCTTGCCGGTGGTCTCCTAGAGAGCTTCCTGGGGCCCTCTGGGGCTGTCTTGAGCGTGGCATCCTGGGGTTTCTTGGGGCCTCTTTGGCGCCTTTCGGGAGCGTTGGCCCGCCTGGAGACCCCCTCTTTGAGCATCTTGAGGTTATCTGACGCTGTCTTCGGTTCTAGCAACGTGTCAGCTGACGTGCTTGGCGCGAAAGTAAAGAATCAGATGTATGGCAAGTTCCACGCCTTGGACGAAGTACTTGGGCCTAAATGGCTACGGAGGAGTTCTCTTGGGAGGTCTTGATGGGCTCTTGGCTCTTCTTGAGGCATCGCGGGGCCTCTTGGGGATCGTTGTTGGGCCTCTTTGGGGTTGTTTTGGGGCCTTCTGGGGCGTCGTGTGGGCCTCTTGGGAGCCTCTTAAAGCCTCGTGGGAGCCTCTCGGGGCCCCTTTGGGGCCTCCGGACGGCATGTTGGGGCGAAGACTCGAATTTTCGATTCATGTTCCCCCTCTTGAGCCCTTCTTGGGGCCGTCTTTGGGCCCTCTTGGGCCGTCGTGGGCGCCCCTGGGCCCTCCTGGGGGCCCTTGGCTCGTCTTGGGGCGGTCCTGTGGGCCTCTTGGGCCGTCTTGCGATTGTCTGAAACTCGAAAAGTTGCGGATCCCAAAAGCATTGAAGAACCCAAAAGACATGAACACTTTGTGGCTCCAGGGGCACTCGACTGGGGCCTCGGGCGCCCACTGAAGCCTGCCGGAGGTCGTTCTGGCGCAGCCTGAAGCCTTCGGGGGCCGTCCACAAGGCATCTTCTGCGCTCTCGGGGTGTGATGGACTGGTTCGGTACACTATCGTGCAATATTTGTTGGCTATCTGCGCGCCCACGGGGCAACTGTGGAGGCCACGAGGGCGCTCGTGGGGCCCCTGGACCTCCCATGCCACTCCAGGGCCGTGGTTTCGGCTGGAAAAATGCCGCGGAAAGATGGGGTCTCGGGCTCCGGTCGTGACTTCGTGCGCTGTTGGAACTTGTTCGCAACGTGGTATCCCATGCCATGGTACTTCGGTCACCGTGGGGTTTACAAAGTGGATAGAGGGGCCACAACTGGATGCGAGGGTTGGGTTCATCTGGCCTGACAGAAAAGGTGGGGAAGGTGTAGGGCGAGGATGGCGTCCTGTTGCGATTGGCTCAGGATGGTCTCTGTACGATCGTGAACTTTTGCTCAGCGTGTCGCGGCGGCCACCCTGGCGACACGCTATGCCGTGTACAGCTGGTCGTGATGGCCGTCGTCATCAGAATCCTCATCATCATACTCGTCATCGCCATCGTCATCGCCATCGTCAGCGCCATCGTCAGCATCATCATCATCATCATCATCACCATCATCATCATCATCATCATCATCATCATCATCATCATCATCATCATCATCATCATCGTCATCAGCATCGTCATCATCATCATCATCATCATCATCATCATCATCATCACCATCATCGTCATAATCATCACCACCATCATCATCATCACCATCATCAGCAGCACCATCACCATCACCGTCACCATCACCGTCATCATCATCTTCATCATCCTCATCATCCTCATCATCCTCACCATCCTCATCATCATCATCATCATCATCATCATCATCATCATCATCATCATCATCATCATTATACCTGTTGCCTTGGTTCATGTTGAATAACTCCTCCTTGTCGCACCCCGAGGCCAATCGGAAGGGCATGTCGGGCGGTTCGTCGGAGGCTTCCTTACCATTTATGAACCTGAAGCGTAAAAACGAGCAACAAGATGGAGGGCAGGTGTTTTTCAAAATGTGGTTATATCCTTCGCGCCACGCTCATTCGTTTTTGTTTGCGGATGAAAGTCGGGGGGCTTCAAAATGTGGTTCTCGCCTGAACGCCCCCTTCATTCGGCCTACAAACTTACAAGAGTTGAACACTTTGAGGGCGGGTGGTTGTCAAAAAGTGGCTCTCCCCTCGGTGCCGCGTACACTCGCTTCAAAATTCTGCAAGAGTTTACACATTGACGGCAGGTGGTTTTCAATGTGGTTCCCGCCCTAGCGCCGCGCACGCTCGTCTGAAAAACCTGCAAGAACTTAACGGACTGAGGGCGACGGTCGTTTTCAAAATGCGAACGGCTCAAGGTTGTCAGGGCGCAACATTTACGTTGATCCGCGGTGCTAAGTCCCAAGAAAGGTGTTCTGGCACGATTAAGACGTCGTGAAAACGCAACCGTCAGGATAACTCATGGCGCTGAAGTCCTGAGAATGGTGTCTGGGCACGCATCAGGACTTATACACGGTTGTCTCCCAACGGGGCAACTCCCTCAGTGGAAATGAACCCTTGTAGGGGCCTGTGAAGAGGGAGATTTGAGGGAGGGTGCATTCCAACATCGTTGCTGAGTCTTGGGTTTGCTCTGGTCCTCCTCCTCCTCCCCTTCCTCCTCCTCCTCCTCCTCCTCCTCCTCCTCCTCCTCCTCCTCCTCCTCCTCCTCCTCCTCCTCCTCCTCCATTCCTTTTCCTTCTCAAGCAATTTGGGCTCGAGCACCAAGTCCTCACGCCCCCGTGCGCGAGGCAGGTTCTCAGTCCAGCACTGTACTTTCTCGGAGTGCTTGAGGAGCACCGACTCTCTGCGAGCCACCAGAGTTCACAGACAGCGGTTGGCTAGACAGTGCAAATACAGGCTACGCGATGGCCCGAGGACAGCTAGCGAAGCAGTGGTCCAAATGCGGCTCCTGCGGCGCTTGGGATTGGAACAAGAGTCTTCGAGGCCGACAATGTCGCTGTGCCAAGTGCGGGGGCAACGTCAAGCTCTATGAGGGCGATGGCAACACCTTGCACAAGCCAGGTCGTGGTGCACGCGACCAGGAGGCACAACAGCATCAGACGCAGGCGATAGTGGAGGGGCTCATCAAGGGCTTGGCTACATCCGTCGCAGCGCCCCAGCTTGTCCAGGTGACCAAGGTGCTGCAGGCCCAGCTCAACCCGTCCATGGCGACCAGCAGGGCGTCCACGGCCGAAGACGCACTTCGACGTGTCTCAGGCCAGTGGAGGGACGCCAACGCCAAACATGATCAAGCAGTGGCTGCCGTTGTTCGTTGTCAGGCCAACCTCGACAGGGCCAAGCAGCGAGAGGCTGAGGCAGCACTGATACTGGCGCAGGCAGATTTGGAGCGGAAGCAAGCCACTGCGGCCTTCGCACGCGAGGTCAGAGGCTCGGCAGATCAGCCCGAGCAGGCCACCTCGCAGGCAGCTTTCGACATCGTTTGGGACGAAGATCTATTCAAAGATCTGGACCAGCTCGAGGGCATCGAGACGGCGGAGAAGGATGACCTTATGAAGATCCATGCCGAACTCCAGCAGTACAAGTCTCAGTTGGCGTCCAAGTCTGAAGACGTGAAATCCAGGATCGCGAGGGCCAAGGAGCTGCATGAGACGATCCACGTGCGCGCTGGCAAGAAGCGCAAGACCGACACCGACGAGGACAAGCAGCCGACGGAGGGGACGGACGAGGCCCAGGCTGGCGGGGGCGGCGGCGCAGGCCAGGCGATCACGCCAGGCAGCGACGCCGCGGCGGCTTCAGGCGGCACGCCAGCCGCAGCCGACGTCGCAGCCACCGCCGACGCCGCCGGCCCTGAGCCCAGCGGCACAGCCGTCGCCGCGGCAGCTGCGGCCATCTCGGCCCGCAAGCTCTCGGAGGCGCAGGCAGCAGCCACGGCCGAAGCCCAGGCTCTTTTGTCGGTGGGCGGCGGCGCGGACACCAAGTTCGGCAACACCAAGAGCGGCAAGGGCACCAGAGCCACCCGTGGCAAGGGCGGCGGAGCTGGTGGCAAGTGAGGAGTGCAGCCGAGGCCTCCCACGACCGTGGAGGGGGACGCCTCGGCGCATGCAGGCGCCGTCTCCAGCGCCAAGGTTTTGCACCTCTTCGACGCGATCTTCCAGAAGATCAGCATCGCGGAGGCCCTCCAGGCGGACAACGCTACTGTGCCATCTCAGTCACAGTGCGGATCGGCCGCCAGTTTCACGAGCTCTACCACGGCGAGCGGCTCCAGTTCGCAGGTATCGGGTACCTCGACGGGGAGCCAGTCTTCGCCAACTCCTACTTCAGTTGCTGTAGGGCCCCAGGCTGCGGTGACGATAGTCGACAGCTCGACTGACAGTCAGGCGCAGGAAGGGGTCATCCACACTGGCACAGCCGACGCTCCACTAGGGAGCCACGATGCAGCTGGTGAAGAGTGCAGCCTTTTTTTCGCGAATATCACTAGTATGGGGACGTCTGCCAAGACGTCGCAAGCCTGGACCTACCTCTCAGAGAATGCCGACAAGCACCAGTTCTGGGCCTTCGTGGAAACGCACGTGGCAGCTGACGCTCTTCGGCCATGGCACAAGGAGGCTCAGGCGATCGGCATGAAGTTGATCGCGAACGGCGCCAGACCCTCAGGTCACGCCAAGTCCTTGGACATGGAGGGCAGGGCCAACGAGGGTGGCGAATGGTTCCTCACTTCTGGTCACAGGCAAGTTCATGCGCTGAGTGCAGCTGAACACCAAGGTTTTCGAGCACGACGGGGTTGTGCACGGGACGGCTTCTGCGCGACGGTGGTGCACCTCAAGGGGTTCAGCCTGGTGGTCATAGTGTTTTATGGCCTGTCCTCAGTGGGCCTTACAGGCGACAATTTGGTGCGCTATCACAAGCTGGGAGGACTTGTTCGTTCCTTGCAGCTACCCTGGCTCATAGTCGGGGACTTCAATGTTCCAGCGGCCACACTGGCGCGGACAGGTTTCTTTTCGTCACTTGGAGGGAGGCTCTACACAGGAGACCTCGTCGCGACGTGCACGGCAGGAGCATCGGGATCCCTGATCGACTATGCCGTGGCGAGTCACCACTGTCTCCCTCACCTCATCTCCATCACTCCTGTCGTGCAGGTTCCCTGGAAGACGCACATTGGCCTTCACATTCGTATCAGAGGCTCTGGGGCTCAGCTGTTGGTCAGGACTCTGGAGCTTCCCGCCAGGTTACCTCAAGTAGGAAGACCCAAGCATGAGGCAACGCCAGGGTCCAAATCGTCTGAGTCACGTAAGAAGCTGGCTGTTAGGAAGCGTGAGGCACACGAGCGTAGGGTTTCACTTTACACGTCACTTTTTGGGGAGGAGCCTGAGACCACTGAGCCTCACGAAGAGCCCCCCGAAGACCTAGACTGGCTGCTGCTGGGTGAGTCGGCCGAGGGATGGGACTCCGATCCTGAGGAGGATCCTTGGGCGAATGAGTCGGAGTTTAGGCCCGCGACGAATCTCACGTCTGGGCTGCCTTTGCCGTCTAACGTGCGGGCCCCCTCCCCGCCTCCCTCCGCTGCTCCTCCTGCTGCGGCTGCTGGGCTCTCCCCACCCCAACCTGAGCCGCCCCCAGCAGCCAGCGCACAGGTCCCATTTAACAATTCGGACAATGTCGCAGGAATGCAATTTAAAGCCACACCCGACCCCCCCTTGGAGCGCCCCCCCGAGGTCTCGGTAGGCAATATTCTCCAAGAAGAGTCTAGTGGGCCCACCTTCGATATTCCTGAGAGTACTTGGTTGTCCGAGCGCCATGCGGTGGGTGTTGTCAGACAATACGAGCATCACATTTGGCCTCCCATTGCGCAATCTGTAGCCGTTTTGGCTGGAGGGATCGAGCCAGTGCTCGCGGTCAGCACCACCTACGCGACGTGGGTATCAGCAGTGGAGAGGACGATTTTGGTGCATCACAGACCAGGCGGGAACGAGCCGCCACGAGAGGTGGCGGCATCCTGTGGCCGAGCCAAAGGCCCCACTTTGCGTGTCAAGGAGTTACACATTCCCGCCAAAGTCAGAGCGGTTCCTATTCGTGATTCCATAGCAGGGTGGTGGCTGCAGACACACACGGTCGTTCAGCAGCTACTGAAACATCGGCAGAAGGATAACGGACGGTTGCAACAGCAGCACCTACATCACGCGTGCTGGAGACTGGCCACTACCTTCCCTGAAGGAGTAGCGCGCGTCCTGAGAGAAGCAGATCCGTCCTGGGACACTTGGGTGGGAGCTCTCTCAAACATCAGCAAGGCATCAGTCAACATTTTATCTTATTTTGAGCAGGCGGCTTTCAGGCTTGCCAAGAGGGCTCAGAGCCGTGCTCTGAGCGAATCGCTTTCTGAATTTCGAGCGTGGGTCACGACTGCAGAGGCGAAAGGAGTTCTCTTTCGGAGTTTACGTGAGACGCCGCTGACGGTGGATCAGCTCATCACCAAGAGCGGCGACACTTTGTATCATCCTGTTGATGTTGTGGACCACAAGGTCCAACACTGGCATAGGCTTTGGGCTCCCGAGCAGGTAGATGTTCAAGGCGCGATTCAACTGTTTCAGAGGATTCGGTCCGAGTCGGACTCGACCGAGCTCCCGCTGATCGAGGTGGGCCAGCTGGACAGGGCTGTGAGGCGAATGAAGCCTCGCGCAGGGCTCGGGGTGGACAGACTCACTCCCATGGATGTCCAGAGGCTCCCTCTGTCGGCGAGGGCTGAGCTGGTGGATTTTTACAATCAGGTGGAGGATCAGTTGACGTGGCCGTGGCAGCTGCTCATCGTCGAGGGCCGCCTCTTGCCTAAAAAGGCTCAAGGCGATCGCGTGATTGGCATTTTATGTATGGTGTGTAGGATTTGGTCCATGATCCGCGAAGACATCATGAAACCTTGGACGATTGATTCCAGTGAGAGTTGGGATGCAGCGCTGGCAGGGAATGCGGCGCTACGTGAGGCATTCCTCAAGACTGTGTACGAGGAGATCTACGGAGTGCTGGGCGTATCATATGCGCATGCCATCCTGGACATCCAGTCTTTCTATGATGCGGTCACTTGGGCATGCCTGGTATATGCCGCACTTAAGCTGAATTTCCCCCCAGTCATCTTGTTTTTAGAGCTCCAGCTCTGCACAGCACCACGAATGATGACTCAGCTCGGCTCAACGTGTCGGCCGTTCCAGGTTGCAAGATCGATCATCCAAGGTCTCAGGAACGGGACACGCTTCGGCAAGTGCGCGACACATTTCGTGATGAAGAAGCTTACCGAGGGGAACCCAGGGCTACATGTACGGCTCTGGATTGACGATTTGAGTGAATCAGCTGTTGGATCAGAGAAGTTTGTTTTTCGGAAGTTAGTCAAAGGAGTAACAGATACGTTCAATTTCCTTGCAGAGGAGCAGCTATCAGTTGCCTCCAAGAGCGTGCTGATCGCAGCCAAGCATCAACAGGCAAAGACGATCACAGCAGCTCTTCGGCGACGAGGTTTCACGCTACGACCAGTCCTGCAAGCAGCATACCTTGGAGTTGACCTTGCTGCAGGGCGCAGAGCGGCACGCATGACACGGCGTGGCCGCGCGGTCAAAGCAGCAGGGCGACATCGCAGGATTTCACGGTGGGCAAGAGCAAGCAGACAATATGCGGTCACAGCTACTTTGGAGAAAGTTGCAGGCCAGACGGTAGCACATTACGGACATCAGATTCACGGGATGTTCGGCACAGAGCTCAGCAATCTACGACGCAGGCTGGGATCAGTATGCGGGTCGAATCGTCGGGGTCGCTGTTTGACTACGACGCTCGATCTGCGCGCCCCCGAGCAGGACCCAGCCATCCGCTTGAGCAAGGAGTGTTTGAGCGAATGGTTGCGACTCTGGACTTCGAACAGTGCTATCCGCAGATCCATCGAGAAAGTTTGGCCAGACATCGTCAGCAAGATGAGGGCACTTACCAGCGCCGAGAGGACACGACATGTACGTGGACCAGTCAGCGCAGTGATTGTTACTCTTCTGCAGTACCATTGGGAGCCGATTTCACCATCGCATTGGCGACTGACACGAGGAGGTGGTCGTGAGCAGGTTGAATGGCATTTCAAGAATGACGAGCTGACGGGCAACGAGGATTTCAGCGATATTCTTGCAGATCTTTCCAGTTCAGTCAGGGAAGTTCTCTGGCAGCAGGCAGCCACGCATTACCTCGGCGAGGGTATGGCCGAGGGCATCGACAACGACTCCCTCCGAGACCTACTCAGACGTCTGGCACAGGTGCCTAAGGGGGCACAATGGGCCGAGACGATGCTGGCAGTGGCGACTGGAGGCACTTGGCCTCGGACACGCTTCGAGGTTGACGACGAGGAGTTCAAGCTGTGCCCCAGGTGCCTGCTGCACGGGGATAGGTACCCTGAGACACCCCTGCATCGGTGCTGGTTGTGCCCTCAGAACGTAGGGCATCAGGCGTACCGCGACTCCGACCAGTATACACCGCAGGCCACCAGCCAGTACGAGCAGTACGAATGTTTCTGGCTTCGAGGACTGCTGCCAAGTTCGTGGACGGCAGTGAGTCCACCAGCTGCAGAGGAGAGCTGGATACTTGACTCCGTAGGCACGCATTGCCCACTTCCCTTCATGCCCCAGGCAAACGAAGGAGGTGCGCAGTACCGACCTGCGGAGTCCATGCATGTGATGAACCCCACGGTCGGTCAACCCTTGCATACAGACCCAGGGCCCTGGAGCAGTGGCCGCATCTTTGCAGAGGGCACCGACGACAACCCAGTGTACATTTGTGGGGACGCGAGCGGTGGAGCAGATACTCATTCTCCCAAGCTGAGGCGAGTGGGATTGGGTTTTGTCATCGTTGAGCGGCGCAATCCCGTCAGGCTTGGGCTCGAAGCATGGGGCCCCCTACCAGGACGGAGGCAGACAGTCTACAGAGGCGAGTTGGCGGTGCTGGAGTACGTCCTACGATGCACTCGTGGCGCCGTCGTGTATCTTACAGACAACGAAGGGGTGGAGAAAGGGTGGACAAGCCGCACCTACCTCCGCCCACGTGAGGCCAATTCGGACGTTGACCTATGGGGTGCCATCGGTCAGCACATGCATGCCGACGGAGACCGACACGGCCGTGTTTCCGTCTTGTTTATGAATTCACACTTGTCGGAGACGGAAGCTGCAGG